ACTTGTTCTGTGGTTCGCTGCAAACTTGAAACACATCCAATATCAACTGGTCGTCTACAAGTGTTACCCGCTTGGAATCGTGCCAATGTTTTATGCAGTGTTTGCGCAAATATATGTATTCATGATGAAGACTTTTCTTTACCTTAGTGTGTAAACGACTTTGTCTACATAAGTCACACCTGCCCATCTCTGACGCTTGGCTATACGCAAGCATAAATGAAGGATCTTTTTTTATCCAGTATGGCTAGTTAACACCTGCAGTGTTGTAATACCTCCATTTAAGTCTAAAAATGCAGAACAGGTTTGTGGAGTTTTTTTCCTGTTATTATAAATACCAACAATTTTAGCGCCATGCGACAAGCAGCGGGCTTAAATTAGGAGTGAAATTGGACTTCAGCACCTATTGCTTACAAATGTATATAATAGCCTTTCACTTCTGGCGTCCATTAAACTTGCGCTTGCGTGAATCGACACTCTATACCTTGTTACATGTCAGTCAATGCAATCCTTTAGGTTCTGCACTCAGGTGGTCCGATGTGGCTCAATAAGCAAACAGAATGTGGAGCTCTCGCCTTACATAACGGCTAGCTCACTGCATGCGCGTTTCGCATTTTTGTTACCTTGCATAAAGTTAACGACCGCTTAGAATTATAGAAGGTGCAACATGATGCTTACAAAATGATTAAGGGCCTTTGTGTCGCTTTATATTTATGTGCACCTTGTCCCACTTAATTAAAGTATTGCAACCATAACCGGGATTCGTTTCGGATGCCTGTATCTAAAACTGCTACAGTGTCCTCATGATCGCGCATGTCAGAGAAAACAATAAGTTAGAAAAAACAATTTGTAAACCGAAACGCTAAGCAGGTGCACAAAAGTGGACTTGCCGAACAACCTCCTCGTGGTGCCAGCTGGGTGGTTTGGGATTTTCCCGTTCCAGCAAATGGTTCGGCGGCAGTGTTCCAGGACGTGGTGGGTTTTCGCCTGGCAAGCGTTCTCCCTATAAAAAGCTACATATGTCCGTTTAACAACACTGTGACGTGGCGGACGTGACTCGCCACTAAATAAAGTCACTGCCCTTTGCTTCATCCTGGCGAAGCATTGTATTCCAGCAACGTCATGCTCTACTTCTGGGGAGCATTGGGCCCCTGTTTGACAAAGGAACAAACGGAAGGCGTTTGAACTGAGCAATCAGTCACCGGCTCCCAATGGGCGCGATTCCCTGAATTCGCTCCGCTGCCTTGCGGACAGGCTATTCAGCCAAAGGCTCGGGGTGGTGTCCCCTAAGTCAACACCCTACTTCGGCTTGGGCAACCGGGTAGTATTTCGCCCGCTGAGGAAACCATGGATATTGTTGTGTTGTGTTTTATTTTACTGTTTCTGTACCTTGGTTTGAATCCCATGGTTTCTGCTGGCATTATGTCTGTCAGCAGACTTTTGCAAAATATATATATGTATATATAATCGAACATAAAAATATTGTACGTTTAATATTCACATGACATAAATTGTGGGTGGTTGGGCTTAGAACTGCCTATTATTATGGGTTTTGCAACCACAATCTAATATATGCAGTTAGAAGAAAGATAAGGCACATAGGTGGCAGAAGAAGTGGAGTAAAGTCAAAGTTGTTGTGTGTCCATGATAAAACACCTAACTGGTCGTCATTTTTTCCAAAAGACCACACTCACCCTGGCATTCTTTATGCAGTATTTAAGCGGCTATGAGCAGTTGGGCCAACAAGCGCACAAAGTACGCTTCTTAATGGCTTGCCGATAATGAAAAATGTAGAAACCTACGTTTCTGTGACGGCCCAGGGAAAGTCGAATGCAAGGAATAAACGTCAGAGTATGGAATCTTAATAGCCAGACTCCTCAAAGTCTTAACCTAGTGTTCAATGCGGCTTTGTTTATTGTCTCGACTAACAATTTCCCAGGCTAATATTTAAAACGTAACTAAGATATCCCACTTCTGCAAACAAGACATCTAGCCATTTAATGCCAGAGAGTACACCGTCAATTAGTAGGCACACTGATCCAACCCGGTTAAAAAGGCAGTAAATACCCTTTAATAGAATATTTCACAAGGCTTAAATAATGCTTATTTTTATAATTGTTTATGCTGCAAAATATAATAATTAATTACTGAAGCTGAGCCAAGCTTTAACTATAGGTCCATCTTTATGACGCCATCTGGTTTGACCAAGAGCTCAAGTCTACCATGAAGCATCCGTTCACAGTATGGAACAAATTCAAATCTTCGCATACGTACTCTGACTGTTCAAAATATCACTCAGAAACCATGGCTTTTGCAAAAACACTATGAGTGTCGACGAGGTAAGCATGGTTTTAGCCAAAGGATTCTGTTTTGATTCAACGAACTTGGTCTTATATTTTAAAGGATCAGCCAAGGTCGGCAACAAAGTATAAAGTTTACTTTTCAGAGTTTTCAGTACCATTTGTCAAGACGATAGACAATGACTGACCGCAGGACCACGTGTTACCCATTAGTTTGAGTAAAGAGAGACTCACTTACCAGCAGCTACGCGCATACACAAAATCGTTAACGCTAGACCACATGATACACGCTAACAATACCTTGAGACTACTATCTTAATCAAACACAATTTTTCTAGCTAGTGCAAAAGATTGCAATCCGTTTACTCAAGTTGAGATCAGAATACATTAGTGTTCTGCTGTGCTAATTATGGGTTATAGTTTAAAGCGGGTCGTCTGTCTCCTTACTAAAACACCCAACTGCAAGGATAAAAGCCAACAGGATCCTTTGAATCGGTAGCTAGCCTGCTTGACGTCGGGCTGTTACAACTTGGAAATGCCCAGCAAACGTGCCATACATTGAGCATGTGAGGACTTAACTATCACTTTTCTACTCAGCTCCACAAATCTGTTTATCACACGGTTGAAGGGCGCGAACGCGATGGACGCTGGATAAAGCTGGGAGTTGCGTTCATCAACTCTAGCAGGACTTTCTACCGAATCTTACTCACCAACAACTCATTGAAGTCTGAAAAATTGTCGTCAGGGTAAAGGTGGTGTCAAGATTCATGGACACCTTGCAAGGTAGAACCATCCAAATAAAGATAAACGAAAACATTTCCTTTCCAGTACCTGAGACTAGTGAGGTCTTACAACAATATGTACCCGGACCAGGATTATTGAAGCTTTACTTCAGTGATATGCCAGCTGTGCTTCAAAAACTACCTGCTCTATGCGAACGACCTAAAGCCATGGTTGCAAGTACCCAGGCTTGATGAACCCAACCAACTACAAGTAAGGCTTGATCTATTATCTGCTTGGTTTAACAAGCGGTGTCTACCAAATAACTATGATGAGTGTTCAGCTATCCTAATCAGTGGAGTGGGACTTCTGGGCACTCAGCACACCGCTAGATTTTTGCTCAAAAACGATACTCCGGTGCAGGACCTGTGGACAGTGTTCTCATAACTTCAAAACACACTGCGATTAATAAAAGCAAACTGCAATTTTGAGCACAATATAATGGGTTAAAAATGTCTCCTCTAGTATGATACCGCGGTTAATCCGAATTGCTGCTTACCCCCCTCAATTGCTTGAATTCGTTCTTCTAGCTCTTGTCCAACTATCAAAGTACGAAAGTGCCCTGCTTGAAATATTTTAGTGGCGGGGTAAGATTTCTACCGTTAAGCTTCATAAAATATCTTATCTTGTTCGGCTTCAGAAGAGGAACCTGTGGCGGAGCTGTACGGCATCGGGCGTGTCGGCAGCTTACGGTTTAAGTAATGCTTTCTTTGTGGAGGTACCTGCGAATAATTTACGGCTGCCTTGCAGGCGAGATAAATAAGCAGTCGCGGACAGCCAGCGGCAGCGTTTCAGAGTGCATTGAGTTCTAAGCTGGTCACCTAATTCTGCATCAACTACCAAAAGAGCTCATACAGCGCTGTCTCAAAGCCAATGTGACCGCCTATAGGGCCACTGACCACTCACTTCTGTAACCAGAGGTGAGTATATAACAAAGAGCGGATGAACAACTTTGCTGGGTACCGGCTTTTCTGTAGACTGCTACTAAACCCAAAGAAGACAAAGGGGTCACCCGGATGTCAACGGTCTTCGTTAACAGCCCCGCTGTTTTGCGGGTTTGGTCTTAAGGCTAAAGGCTCGGGGTGGGGTCCCTTAAGTCAACACACTTCCACGGCTTAGGCAACCGGGTAGATCTCTGCCCACACAACCTCTTATGCTTCTAAGCTTTCCAACTCCTTGCGATGACTACCCCATTTTTACTGTTTGTTGTTGTTAACTATTTGTTGTGGCACTAACAGTTGTATATTAGGCAATAATAACATATAATATCAGCATATGAAACATCTTCCATTAGGCAAGTACCAAAGCAGCGTAAACCTCAGGCATACTAGGCACCATCTGGTGAGAGAAATAGGAGGTTTGCTACAACAGTTATTTCAGTTAAGCTCTGGTGTACTGACACACGTTCAGAGCCGAATGATATTTAAAGCAAGAATGCTCCTAGTCTGCCATGAAGTGGTTCTTTATACTCGAGTAGTTAATAATTAGAACCAACCATCGTGTTTGCTTGATAGTGCACAATCCAACGAGAGCTTCAAATGTATATTCGACTCATATCTGGATAGTACTCCAGAATGAGGCAGCATCGCGGCATACTCGTGCTGCTTTCTGAGCAAAGCCGTGATGACATCACTTGCAATACTTGAATGAACGGGAATAGAACCTGCAACGGGAACTTTCCTTTGTTGCCGAACACGGAGTAAACTAACTGGAATGGGACGGTGTTTTTCAGACCCTTCGATAGCAGCCTATAGTTGTTCACCGATGGCTATTACCAAATGCGTACCGGGTGGCTATCGGACAATTGTGTCAATAGAGTAAACATATTTGAACTTTACTGCAAAATATATTCGTCCTGGCCATAAATGCAACTACCGATTACATAAGAGAGTAAATTGGAAATATAAATATAAATAAACTCACCGAAATTTTTGTAAAAATGTACAGAAACAAAGCCATGCAGGCAAGGTATATCTGTAACCTTATTCCACCGAACCTCTTTTGCAAGTATTCCGGCATAGTATAGACCTAGAAAAGCTTGCGTATTTTTTTCGACTTACTCCACATGCCGTGTATACGGGTACAAAAACCCAGGCTAATAAGAGTAATGCAAACGTTGCCTACAAAATTACAATGAAGTATAGACATACGCTGATCTCAAACACGGAGATGGCGATACCGGCGGCTGCAGCACTACCCGCTAATCCAATAAAGTGGCCTGATCCTATATTACTGGCAAACAAGGAAGCTCCAACCTAGATCTTTAGTGATAATAAAGGATATGCTTACCAAGACAGAGTGCATTGACCTTCCGGCAAGGAAATAACCACCGACACTTCCTCGATTGCAGCATGAAGCCTAATGGAAAGTCACTTGCATACAATTGATTTACCCAAATTCCGACGGCTAGCAATACAACTAGATAACCAATTACGACGCCAACATCCGGTGCATCTAATTCACCAATTAGATGAGCCATTTCAAGCGATAACGACTTGCAACTTCAAAACCGCGTATAAATATATAGCAATAGGAGCTAGGGTAAAACATCGCCCGCCATGGATTAAAACAAAGTATCACCGGATTGCACTAACAAGTTGCTGCTATTTTGATTTTGAAGATGTTATTTCGGCTGGCAATGTTTGGGAAAATAAGGTCAGGTCAGGTTCTCAGCACGGTGTCAATGTAATCACGCGTAAATATTATCACTCCTTGAACACAGGGGATGTGTGTGAAATTGGTGTGATGTAGACCACCACATATGTTTAGTCTAGTACGTATGGTGGTCCAATTTATTCCAAAAGTCAGCATTATGTTTTGTTATCTCCAACAAATTGTCAAATGCACTAAGATTGTGCAGAACATGTTTAGTACCGGTCGATTATTATGTTCTAACTTAAAGAATTACTTAGATACCTGAAAGTTTTATTCTCTCGACTACACTAGACACACCTACACAGGCATGATCATAGTAAGAGTACAAGTCCTGATCGATTTACGTACAAGGAAACAATAGGAGTGTTACATATGTTGATATTTGAAGTATGTAGGTGTGCGTACAGGCATGTGTAGCCGTGGTTCTGGGGTTTATACATGGTTTCCTGCACTTTTGCTCATGTCGCCAGTGCTAAAGTGATGCTGGATGTTTGTAGACTTGAAGCGGTTGTCCGGAAAATCAAGGGGTATCTTTAGTTATTAATGAGTCACAACCGCGACGTCACGGGGTTAGTAAACAGACATTTGTGGCGTTTCTACGGAGAACGCTTTCCAAGGAAAAATTCACCACGCTTTGGAACAGGGCCGCCGAACTATTTGCTGGAACGAGGTAAGCCCGAAACACCCAGCTGGCACCACGAGAAGGCTATTCTGCTAGCCCCGGATCCCGTCAGAGGTTGTAACTTTGGTTATGGTTTGGCGCTAGTGTCAATAGGCACATTGGTATCGCCGCGTCTGAATCCCAATTTACCTCGAAAACCAACGGACCTCATCACTCCAATTGCCCTTTGGGTTTCAACCCCATACTTAACCCCGAATCCATACCGTTGCGATTGTACATGCCGTTCTAATATTAACGCTGCTAATAGAAAGATAATTTCCATGATGACTAGTGCCAGTGGCTTGCTCACCTCAAGTCTGTACCGCAATTTTAATATTCTAAGTTTTCTATAGCGCGAACCACAACCCTCCGAAGTCAATCCGTTTCACGTCTGCGGTTAATGTTATCGGTAGGCAAGAACCTGAATTATGTTTCATTAACCTGATGCACAGGGAGCTATTTTCTGTTACAGAATATACAACAAACCACGGATATTCCGTTCAATCCTTGAATATTCTGTGATTGCCGCCGTCCCTCAATCTCACAATAAAGCGCAAAAGTGAAACTGAACTCCCAGCCTACGTCTCTAGGATAAACACTTATAGGTATAATCTAATTACTAACCGTTAACTTAAGGTTGTGTTTGTCATCCGTTCGAGTAGGTTCTGTCTACTGCTCAGCCGCAACGGCAAATTATGCTCAGAAACCGACTTTGGGGGCCTATACTGGCATGTTTATTAATCCAGTAACCCAAATACCATTATCCCGTAACCCTTAACTTAAAAATACCTTAGCCATTTTATTTCAGGATTCCCGGCTGTAATACTGCAGTTGTAGTAACCACCAATTGCGTACCTGGTGCTATGCTGACTGTTTGAATGCCTTGCAGGAACAATATTTTTAACCCATCCGCCATGGAGTCTGTGTTCCGAATCAGTGTCCTTGGGCGCTCTTTGTCAATTATTTTCAGCATCATGCTTCTCCATTTCGTCAAATTCGTAAGGCGCGGCAGCATAAAGTGCAACGTATCGTTCAGGAAGGATGATGGGATTAGTTAGCTTTGCCCGTAACGCACGTCGCAAGCCCGAAAATATAGGACTTAGGCACTTTTACTACGCTGTTCTATCTATTACCCTTATGCCTTCGTTTCACTTGGAACCAAATGTGCTGCGCTGGTGGACCTCATTAAAACAGTGCGCAAGCAGCTTGCACCATTTTCGATTTGTCTCCCAATGACGACGCAATCCGATATTTTTTTGTAGGACGATCATTCATACCTGCTTAACGGAGAAAGAGTTCTGTCACTCTGCGGAGCTTTTACGTTAGAACACGCCAACAAGCGACCTGAAACATTTTGTCAAAGTTCCAGTTGGATAGGATATCACCAGCGATGCTCTATGCAATTTCCCTCATGGAGTGTGCCCCGAAGTACATTGCATAGAATTGTCAAAAATATTTACTACCGGCAGACAAACTGCATCAAATTGTTATATGTATGGAAAATCAGGAAGTAGCAGGGGTTATTGCAAAGGACTAATGTGAGCATGTTTCATTCGCTCGGCAGCAGCAAACTGAAATGTTTCACTGGTTTGCTCACGCTGGTTACATGGACGCCAATATATATATATATATATATATATATATATATATATATATATATATATATATATATAATTAAGCAACCAAATAAACTTTTATTCTCGGCTGAAGGAGACATGTCTGCACCGACATGCTCATGATATGAGTGCAACAGTTGCTCAAGTAGTGTACAATGTTGTTGTCATAGGGGTACCACTTATGTTTATACATGAATGTTGTTGTGTATGCCGAGGCGTATGTAGCTGTGTTGTTTGGCTTTGTAAAGGTTTGCTGCATTCGCTTATGTTTGAATGTGTCGTCAATGCTAAAGGGATGATTGACGTCCGTGGCTGGGCCACGATTTTACGGATGAGCTTTAAGTTGCTGGTTTACAATGATTCCCCATTAACCAGCAAGCAACAGTGACGTCAGTTAGTGGCGAGTCTCCTCCACCTTGTCATAGTGTTTTTCTTCTGATATTGATGGCTTTTTATAGAGAGAACGACGGTCAATTGATAACCCACCAAGTCTCGAAACAGTACGGCTGAATTATTTGCCGGTCCGGGGTAACCTATAACCACCCAGTTTGCGACACGGGGGTTGTTCGGTCAGCCAACTACTAACCGTTTACACTGAGAATCTGTAGAGGGGTTTCATATAGCTTGCAGCTTTAAATTAGTTCAGTGTTCGGTAACTGAGGGGAGTGGTTTTTGCCGGCCAACACGTTAGGCCGTACTGCGTCTTGGAGACCGGATGTCCTTGCTTTTATTATTAGTATGATATAGGGATAGGTTGGGCAATGATTTTTGTGTCTACAAACAACTGGGGTGCAACGTGACTGCTCAAAAGCCTGCAGTCTGCGAATTTGTCCAATGCCAGCTTTGGTATTCCTGCCTCCACATTCATAGGAAAAGCAGAAAACCCGAAATTTTCAGCGATACATACTGCACGCAAAAGCCAGTCGAGGACATTTCCTTTCTCCTCGAATACCTTGCTTGCCGAACAACCTCCGGGAACTGTTAGCGGGGTGTTTCACGCTAATCTCGGTCCAACTACTAGTTCGGCGGCAGCGTTCCAAGACGGTGGGTTTTCGTTGGGCCAGCGTACCCCATAAAAAGCCGCAACTTTCTGCTTAACCTCCTCGTGACGTTGTGAATATGACTCGCAACGAAATGAAGTCACTGCCTCGCCATGCCGGAGGACTTAATACGTTTCGAGAAAGTTAACCTCTTCAGATTGCATCTGATCCCGTCCTATATTGTCGCATCCACCAAATTAACTCACAACTCCACACTAATACTAACAAATTTGCAAAACAGGAGTATTTAAACATGTACCTGCATAACTACTACACATACCTATACACAGGTATCCTGTATGTACTTATTAAATGGTAACATTACTGTAGCATTATTAATGTCACCTGTTCGAATCACCATACTTGTAAGTTTGAAGGCGTGGCTTGTATTGTCGCGAATGCATCGTTTATTTATTTATTTACTTATTTATACGGAGGATGTATACAAGCATTTTTCATCTCAAATATTTTTATTTTAACTTCCACAGGTCTTTGAAGCTCCTTAACCGTCAACCCCACGGTATGTTTATCATTTAACGTCACGCTGGTTGTATCCAAAAGTTTTTTGGGTTTATCCCGCCCAAGGTGCACTGGTGCGACTTGAGAATACAACGCAGCCCAAGGTAATAAGGTCAGGTTACCTTGGAGGAAGGTGACCCAGGTTTTCAAACACTTTGCTGTGACGATCTGCAGTCTTGGAGTAAGCAGTTCTCTTCAGAAAGTACACTGGCGTGTCCGGCAGTCTGAGAATAAAAAATATTTATTCTTTTAGATGCATGCGACGTATATCAGTGCCAAGTGTTAGCTGCGAGGAGGCAACGCATACATTTTCACATAAACAAACAATTCCTTTATTCTCGATTGGAAGAGGCACACCAGTTAAGGTATGATCAAATACGCACAATATGCGTAATTGCCTTAGAAAAGTGAAACTACCAGAAGGAAAGTATATAAGCGTAACTTTTCACATGTTGTACGGGTAGTTCATTTGTTCCATGTTAGTGCGATTAAGATAAACTTAAGTGCGGTTGCACAAAGAAAGCAGAC